GATTCTCGAGTCGGAAGATGACCACTGAGATGACCATGGAGTTGGGCCTCTATCGTCCTCCATGGCTTTGTCCATGCGCTGGCGAGGAAGCAGTTGCCCGCTGCCAAGTCGGTCCTGCGACGGTGATGTCATGATGGGTGACGCTGCTGGTCGCACGGAGAACAGATCATAGTACTCGTCTACTCCGTGGCAGGACGACCATGCAGGTACATGTACATCGCTGCATGGGCTTCCCGGTGGCCTTCCTCCGTACCCCTCCTCCTCCATGTTCCTTGGCCGGTGCATGATCCAGAGTCTGATCCTTCGATCGTCATGACGGCGCTGGCTCCAATTCTCTCGCACAGCACGTCACGGGCATCATCTGGCAGCTGGCAGTGGAATTCGGACATGTCCGAATTATAATCTGGAAACCAGGACAGGACCTGAGTTTTCCGCATGGTAGAGGGCCATGGCATTGCGATTTGGGCTGGTCATTACTCGCGAGAAGAACGTCGAGCATGGGTATGGACACGCCGACGTTCATCATCCTCGTGTCCTTGGCAGGCGTCGCCGGCGTCCTCCTCACGGGCTACTGCCTGCGCAAGTACGAGGACATGCAGGGCAACCTCGACGGGCTCATCTTTGCGCCGTCGGACGAGCCACTATTGCGCGAAAACTTGAAGGATAGCTTTCTCGAAGAGGGCCGCTTCGAGTGGCAGTGCGTCGTCTGCGCGCACCTCAACCACCCGGACAAGGCGACGTGCTCGCTCTGCGGCGCCACCGAAGGTAGACAATCTCCCTCATTCCACCCGCGCGTCACTGGTGCTCGTAGTCATGATCAACGACCTCAAGTGCTCGAACCTCACGGTGCTCTCGTCCAACCGAACGCTCAAGACGCTTGGCTCGACCGTGCTCCTCGTCTCGGCGCCGTCGGTCGATGGCTTTGTCGAAGAAGACGGAGGCGTCAACACGGGTGATGACCGCACCTTGACGACGAGCCTGCCCGAGTCGCGCCAGCGCGCGCTGCGGTACCGCCGCCACAACATGCAGCTCAACCAGCGCCAGCGCCAAGCCAAGCGTCGTCGTCTCTGGCAGCGCGCGCACCTCGCCAATGGCAACTACGTCTGGGTGCGCACGTCGACGTTCATCAACACGGACGGCAACCTCGACGACACCTTTCTGCAGTCGATCGCCAACAAGCCACGTGGCAGCACGGGCGCGCTCCCGACGTCGCTCCAGGAAATGCTGCACCGCAAGAACGCCGCGTCCATGGGCTTTGTCACGCAAACCAACCGCGAGACGGGGACGCTCATGTGGAAAAAGGCCAACTCGCACACGGGTGCGACGATAGTTATCTGCGCGTCCCTCACGAAACGAGTAGGTGGCTACCACGACGACGATCTCATGTGTTTGGAGGACGGCTTTGCGTGCGACCTCGAAGGCCTCATGGCGCTCCCCTTCAGCCAAAAGAAAACGTGGTTTGTGAAAAAGCTAGCGCGCCTCGCCGTGCCGTACCATGAAGCCTGCCACTCGATCCGTATGTCGCCGCCGCGTTGTCTAAATCTGTATGCTCACGGCGACGATGTACTAGTCGTGCGCCGGCAGTTTGTCTTGGAAGACTCGGTCGCGCATTTCTCGGCGGCGGCCGACCGTGGTCGCTTCCACGAGCATCTCCAAGTGACCTTTGAAGGCGAAGCCGCGCTGGATGCCGGCGGCGTTCTGCGCGAATGGTTTGGGCTCGTGTGCGCCGAGCTCTTCTCGGGCCCGCTCGGTCTCTTCTCGACGACGCACGCCGAGAACCAAAGCTACTGGATCAACCCCGCGTCCAAGCTGGCCCTTGGCAAGTACCATTTACACTACTTTCGGTTCGCGGGCTGGGTCCTTGGCCACGGCATCCTTGAGGGCTTGGTGCTCGACGCGTACCTCGCTCTGCCGCTCCTCAAGCACATCCTCGGCGTGCCGATTCGTTTTCAGACTTGGAATTTCTCGACGAAGAGCTGTACCGCAACTGCCTCTGGGTCCGCGACAACGCCGGCGTCGACGCGCTCGCACTCACCTTTAGCATCGTATCAACCCCATGTGCCGTCATGTCGAAATGCTCATATGTGAGTGTAGCAAAGTGCGTATGGCGGCGAAGTCGACTTGAAGGAGAATGGCCGCCACGTGGAAGTCAACGACGCCAACAAGCTCGAGTACCTCAACCTCGTGCTCGAGTACAAGATGCTCGGCAGCATCTCGGAGCCGCTGCAGGAGCTCCTCACGGGTCTCTACGACATCATTCCCCGCGCGATGCTCAGTGTCTTTGACTATCAAGAGCTCGAGTTTTACATGTGTGGTACGTCACACTTTTCGAGGGTTGATACCGACTGGATACGACGATGGTGTGTACGGTAGGGGTACCCAGCATTAGCGTCGAGGACTGGAAGAAGAACTCGGCCGTGCGCCACATCCCTGGCGCGTCGCGCGTCAAGCAAAACGAAGTCCTCGAATGGTTTTGGGGCGTCGTCGAAAGCTTTAGCGACGAAGAGCGCGGTCGACTGCTTCAGTTTGCAACGGGGTCGAGTCGGCTCCCCGTCGAGGGTTTCAAGGGCCTCACGAGCTTTAGCGGCCAGATCCACAAGTTTACCATTCAAGTGGTTCAGCGAGGCCACCCGCCCGCGGGTCTCTGCCCCAAAGCCCACACGTGCTTCAACCGGTAGGCTCTGCCGAATATTTTTGCCCATGAATGGCTCCTGATCCGCGAAACGTAGCATCGACTTGCCATTGTACAAGGACCGCACCGAGCTCGAAAACTACCTGAGCCTTGTACGTCTTGTGTACTCGACTTTTTCAAGGATTGAGAACGTATGAACTAGGTGATTCAAATGGAGATTACCGGGTTCAGCTTGGAGTAAATACGACCATAACTTATCAACCGATTGCTGCTGCCTCTTCGTGCATACGTCTCAACGACAAGAAGAGGATTATCATCAAGTTAGCAACTCTTGACAAAGCAACGTGGCCAGCGATGTCAGTGGTGCCGTCACCGAGTGTGAAGCTCGATGAACTTGTTGCACTTGGCGATGAGCGCTTCGTAGTGAGCTGTCGATAAGCCTGAAGATTGCAACGATGAGCGCACTTGAGCGACCTGACGCTTGGAATTCAAGTCGTAAACGAGCACTTGATCGCGCTCGAGAGCCGATCGTGCAGCTGTGAGGATGCGTTGGGTCGATGCAACGCGTGCCGAAATGTCCTTGACTTGGTCCGCGATCTCTGCGAGCTTTGCATCGAAGGATGTGCGCAGCTTGCGCAGCTGCTGCGCTTCTTGACGCGACGTTTGGACTGCGGCAACGATGAAGCCAACCACGACGCCAAAGGGTCCTGCAATTGCTCCCAAGAATGCGCCTCCGTGGAGGCCGTCGGTGACCGTGTTCATGCGGCCTGCTTTGACGGCTTTTGAGTAGGTTTGCTCGTAGTACGTACTCGACGACTTGAAATCGTTGGTCACTTGAGCAACAAGCATGGTCATGTTGCCAGCAGCACACGCGACGTGCCGGAGGCTAGCATCGAGCTTGGTGACGGCCTCGCCGAGCACTTTGACCTCGTCCAGGACACAGAGGCAAGGTTGGCAAACAGCATCAGGGACGTTGTGCTGGCGCAGGTGTGCGTACATGGTGAGGTTGTCCACCACTCTTTTGGCCCAGTCGTTGACAATGTCGATCGCCTCCTTGTGCTTGTGGGCGGTGTTGAATATCGATTCGATGACAATTTTGAGTAGAGCCGAGGCTTGGGGTGAGAAATCGCTGTCGAACTTGGCGAGGCCTGCCAAGGTCGTGTGGACGCTGAAGTCGGTGTGGAGGCACTGCATCCAGCCGTCGATTTGATGGGCGATCTTGATGGACTTTTCTTCTTGTTGGTCACGATCCATTGTTGCAGTGGGCGGAAACTTGCAAAGTGTGTCGATGCTGGGCCGACGACCAGTTGGTTGGTCAAATGCGTCATGGGTATCAACTCGATAGTATCAACTGGACACACCAAGGGGCGAACAGTTCGCCCTTTACCGCTTCTTATCAAGTTGAACCGAATTTGATAATGTTCAACATTTTCAACGCAAGCAACCTCCGGTTTTCCCAATCGCGACTCGCGCCCGAGAGCCTCTGTCGTTGCGCATGAAATTCAGATTATTACATTACGAGCTCGTGCTGCTAAGGAGCTTGCGGCCGCTGCGGTACGCGTAGCTGAACTGCGTGTACTTGCTGCCACTTCCATCGGCGTCGGCGCCCACAAACGTGCGAAATTCTGGCGTGTCTTTGATTTTCGCGTCGGCCAAGAGCGCTTTGAGGTACCTACATACATGTCATCGTCAAGATTCCGTACAATCGGGGCTGGCCCGCACACGTTGAGCGCAGCTTCGCGCTGCTCGACGACCGCGCGATCCCGGTTTTGAAAAAAGACTCGCTCCGGGAACTGCAGCGTACACGCGTGAAGCTGCACGAGCTACATACAAGATGAGCCAGGACCCAAGTCATGGAGTACCTTGTTGTGCAGCTCGAGGAATTGGCGGTACCGCCGGAGCACGGTCCAGCGCTCGCCTTGGCGGGACACGACAATGCGGTAAACCTACGCCGCCTGCGTCAGCGTACCCCAAAGAGCTAGCACACGTACGACATGGACGTCGGAGCCTTGCGTCTCGGTGGACGAGCTCGTGATCGCGACGTCGGTGATGGCGCGGACGCAGTAGCGCGATGGCAGCGTCGTCACACGCGCCGAGTCGCGGCCGCGCGGGTCCACCTTGCTCTACGCGGCCATAAGCAATCGGTGATCTTATCGTGCATGTACCATGGGCAGGTCTTGCGCAGGGACGCACATGGAGAAGAGCGATCGCAGCATCGCGTTACAAATCTCGAAATGGCTGCCTTGTCATCGATCGACTCGGTATCCGGATGCTTCCAGACGACCGCGCGGCGGCGCTGCCACGTCATGCACTGGACGTCTCGATCGCCAGCGCTGCGGCTTCTACCGAGAACGCACGAGTGGCCACGAGCCGAGTGTCTGTACCTGCTCGCGCTGCCCACCTTGCAATGGCGTTCTCTGCTTGGTGCGAGCCGCACCATCTATCACCTCAGCGTGAGCAACTCGGTTCTATGCGCTGAGAAACTGCACCCAAGATCCAATCGCCACCTTGGCTAAAGCTGAAAGTAATAGCACCAGTACATGGAGCGCGCCCCGCCCTCCAGGATTATAGAGAGATGATGTCACGCGCATCGTGTCGATGGAATATGCTAATAGCGTGTGGAAATGCTAGCAGCACGGACGTTGCCGTGGCGCGTTCTCGCATTCGGACAGCGTTTGAAAGACCTCCGTCGGGTTGAAGTTGGAGATCAATTTGTTAAAATATGCTACTGCGAGTGGGACGACCGACGATCAGGAGTTCTCGTCGACGATCATATCGACGTGTTCGTAGCCACGACGCAGCGCCATCACCTTGCGATAGACAATAAGGACCACGAGCGACATCAGCAAAGTGCTAGCGAGTGCAACGCCGATGAACACGGGACGCCGCACGGCCGACGGTGTCGGCAAGAGCGCTGCAACCTGCAGCAACTGCGTCGTTGCCGTATCCCGAAACACACTTGACACGAGCTGCAAGACGTCGACATACGTGTCGAAGTCAAGCTGGTGCAAGGCCTGAATGTCGACGCCAGACGTGTCAATGGCGCAATGTGGCAGGCGACGGAGCGCGGCGTCGGCCTCGGAGAACCAGTCGCGGCACGCCGTCGTTGATCGCAGCCGGTCCCACTGCGCTGGCGTCGGAAGTGTCTTTGTCAATACGCTCACGTCGGCCGCTTCCAAGCAAGCGGCCATGTAGGTGCTGCCGACAAGCGACTGGAGCGCGTCCCGCAGCACCAACGACGTACACTTTGTAGCGACTCGCGGATACGTGGCACTCCGAGCGACCTCGGTGACCATGGGCCACGATACCGCCTTGATGTACGCCGCCTCGGCGCACGCTTGCTGGCTAGCAACGGCTTGGACGTATGCATAGAGATCCTTGCAGCTGGGGCTGCTGGTCATTGCCGTCACGTGTGCTGGCGTGTACGCGTCAAAGACAAAAAGGTTCTCCACCGATAGACCAGCATCGCCCGCACACGCTGCGCTCAAGGCCGATTGTGAGACAGCGGAGAACACTGCGTTTCGATTGCGCTGAGTGCACGGCGGTAGGTGGGCCACCACGAGGGTAGCCAGTAGGAGGACCAACGTCACGAGCTTCATGACGAATCCAAAGTGACCGCGCAGCAAATACGAGGCAGGGCTGATCGCGGGATGTGGCGTCACATACAAACATCCGACATCTAATGCATTGGTGTCAGAATTCAGGGCCACATCCTCGCCGAGTCGCACGTCGCGCCGCAGCTCAGCTGGCGCAGCCACATCGCGCGCTCGTTTGGGGCGCTGCCGAGCTTCAAAAGTGGCCGACTAGTAGCTAAGGGAGCATAAACGTAGCACCAACCAACGCTATGTCCACCACCTACGCTGCGTTTGCCCTCGAGACAGGTGCTGGGGTTGTAGTGAAGAATAAGGATACGGCTCTTCCCTTGGTTTTTCCGATTTGCGGCCCACATTCATTGTTAGCTGCATCCACCAACGATAAATTGCAGCTTATGGTGGACAGAGCAAGCAAGGGTACATTGCAGAGTACAATAGCTCGTTACCGCAGTGTATTAAAGAGTCACACTGCAGAACGTGTGGTGCTTGTGCCATGTTTGATGTCCAATCCATTTCGATCCAATTGAAAATGCCGCCGCCTCCGACTGCCACGTCATTTTTGCAGGTCAATAAGGCCAAAGAACTCAAAAGGGCAATCGAATTTGAGTTATTAAATCTGGAGGAGACCCGACGACTCGCCATAGCGAGCAGGCTCGTCGCGCGCCTTGTTGTACACAAACATCGCGACAAAGGCAAGGAGAAAGCCGGCGGCCACCGACCCCGAGACCAAGAGCGTCGAGCTACTGCCATCCGAGACATCCTCGGGTTGAAGGGCAGACATGGCCATCGTCATGAGCTGCGGCGCCACCTGCTGGTGCAAAAGGTCGCTGCCGATCGAAACCCAGCCGATAAAGCTATCGAAATCGAGCTTCTCGATCGCGTGGATGTCAAAGCCCTTGCTGTCGACGGCGCAGTGCGGCAGACCCGAGAGGAGCTTGATCGCGTCGTTGTACAGCGCGCGGCAAAAGTCGTTCTGGCCGAAGCTCATAATTTGCTCCTTTGTCGGCATCGTCTTGGTGAAGAGGTTGGCGTAGAGCCCAGTGGCCGAGAAGCACGGCATGATGTTCTGGTTCTGGAAGAGCGGACCGAGGGCCTTCTGGAAGTCGGCCTGGTCGCAGCGCGCCGTGACCTTGGGGTACGACCCGACCTCAAGCATCGACGTCACCATCGGCCACGTAATCTCCGACCCGTAGTGGAGCTCGAGGCAACCGTTGGACTTGGCCGCGGCCTGGGCCTTGGTCCAAAGCGCCTTGCAGTTGCTGCTGCCAATGAGCGCCGTCGTCTGCTCTGGCGTGAGTTCCTTCATCTTGGCAAAGGCTTCGACCGACACGCCGACATCCGATGCGCACGCCGTGTACGTCGCATGAGCCGTGAGCTGGGAGTTGAGACCTTCAAAATCGGCCTTCGTGCAGTGCTTTTGCGTCGCCAGCACAGCCGTCGCCATGGCAGAGAAGAAGAGCGCCGAGAGCTTCATGCTTGTGGTGCCGTGCAGGACGAGGCAAATGCAAAAGTGGTCGTCCGAGGTGACCATAGACCACGCAGCCTGCATTCCGAAAGATTCGACCAGAGTGCTGGCCCTTGAAGTTGACGGACCAGATTTCAGTCCCAAAGCAATACAAATCTTCATATAAAATTAAACGGTCCATCCGGCATTTATCCGGATTTGACACAATCACCAGCTGGTACGGTCGTGTGTGGCAAGGTTTGCAGTGCGACCGCCGCAGGGTCGCAAGCGGAGGATGGGCTTGTCGCCATGCTTGTGCATGGACATGACTAGTGAGTACTTCGAGGAACCATGCGAGAGGTTGCTTGGCTCGAGAGGTTGCTTGGCTCGAAGGCCTGCGCCCGTTTGCAAGCGTAGCTAGCCGTAAGCCGATCGCGCCTGAAATCAGATGTGCCAAGTTACTGTTTAGCTTAGTCGCCAAGAAGACGCATACGCTCGTCCTTGGAGCTCGAGGCATACCAGCGCCCGCGACGTGCGTTTGCGAGTACGGCCACGCAGAGAACGGTCATGACGAGAAAGGGCATGAGCACAAACATTGGCCTTGGCGTCGTCACGGCCGCTAGCGACAAAGGGCCTGGATTCGCCGCCACCGCCGCCGCTGCGAGCTCGCCCCAATCAACTACCGTGTCAAACGAGACGTTGCTGAGTGCGTGGACGTTCATGTGCACGCCTTGTTGGTCCAGGTTGCAGTTGGGGAACGTCGTTGCGAGCGCTTGCAGGTCGACATAGAGGCCTTGGCAGTACCGGTTCGTACGGGCTTGCTCCAACTGTCCTTGGCTCGGCGGCGTACGCATCGCAAACGTGGAGTAGAGCCCCGAGACGGACAAGCACGGCATCAAGTTGGCGTTGGTGAAGAGCGATGAGATCGCCGCCTGCACCTGGGTTGGTGGGCACGCGTCGTCTGCTAACGGGTAGCTCGCAACCTTCAAGTACGCGGTCGCCATGTCCCACGACACGCGCATCAGAAGCTGGAGCTCGATGCACGTCTCGTTTCCGGCGAGAGCTTCGAGTTGCGTCAGCCAGTCGCGGCAGTTGCTGCTGCGCTCAATGGCCTGGACCTGCGTCGCTGTGGGCACCTTGGCAGAGGTTGCGTCGGCGACCGTCATATTTGCGTCCGTCGCGCATGACTGCGCTTGAGGAAGCGCCCCGGCCTTTGCCAGAAACCGCGTCAGCGTTGGGCGATCGCAGTGCGTCATGTTGGTCGGGTACCCCAAAATGATCTGCAGCAAGAAAGGCCAGGATGGCCGTTCGAACGTAAATGTATAGAATAAAAATTGGAACGGCCTCGCGATCTAGTCTGCCCACTTCAACCTCAACCAACGCAGCCAGCCAATGGCGCCCAGCTTCGAGATAATCTTGGCCCTCAATGGTCGAGGTAACTTGGCGATAGCGCAGGCCGGAACCATGTACGTATCGATGGCTCCAAGAGCGTGCTGGGTTGCGGTGGCTCTCGGAGCGTCACTTACCACCACGAGAACCAAGAGTAGTCTCCGTCCCATGTCCAAGCTGGTCGAGTTGAGGAGGTACAGACATGACAACGGTCGATAAATGACTTCATTTGAATATGCAAAATGCTAATGTACATACGGCTTGTGCGCACTTGACCTGCGATCAGGCAGCACTGGCGACAGCTGCCAACGCTGCAGCCGCGACGTCGTGTTCCTGCTGCAGCCCTTCGTTTTTGTAATCTTGGTTTCCTTGGCGAGCGAGGAGGACTCGCGCGCGGTCTTCTCGGACGACGTTGAGATACTCTGTGATGCGGCCCGTGAACGCCGCCAGGACGTGAAGCTGGCCCATGACGTTCCCATCGTTGTAGACGTCAAGGACCACTGTGCGGGGTGCAGTAAGGCTCGCTCGTTCTGTATCGGACGAGAGCATCTTTGGGTTCAAGAGGTCGTCGAGCCGAAGCGTGACCTGGCCAAGAGACTTGTCCCACATGAAGCTGGCCTTGCGGACAGCAAACTGGACCGTCGCGCCAAGTGGTCGGACGTTCTCAAGCTTCGTGTGCCATCCCCAGCGCAAGACGTTGTTTGTCTCGGGCACGCGGGGAGTCTCCGCCCATTTGTCGAAGCGCATCCGGCTGTACCCTTGGAACGCGAAGAGGTTGGTGTCGATGTTGAAGTTGGTGCCCTTGATGATCGCCAACTCGAGACCGACGTCCGGAAGGTCCAGAGTGCCAATCGCTCGGAGATGACGAGGGACGTCTTGCTCGTTGAGCTGCTCAAGGAGACATCGCACCACCTCGGGGGCCGTCGGGCGCTCGGCGGGGTCCCACGTGATGCATTTTTCCACGAGCGTCGCGTAGGCGTCGGGCACTGCGAAGCCCTCAAAATAGTTCGAGAGGAGCTCCGCGGCGGTCTCTGGCTTTTGCAGAAGCGTTTCGACGCGTTTGTCGTCGATGGTTTTGCCGCTTCTAACGACGTGGGTGAACGGAAGGTCGCGCGTGATGAGCGAGATGAGGACAAGGCCGAACGAGAAGACGTCGATCGCGTCCGTGTACTTGATTTTGCCGGGCTGCAGCGTCTCCGGGGCCCCCCAGCGCGCCTCTGTGATGCCGTTGGTGTCGTTGGAGGTCGTCGACGTCTTGGCTTTGAGACCGAGTAAGACCTTGACGCGGCCGTTGCGCGCAATGTAGATGCGCGTCCACGAGATATCGCGGTGCATGACGCCGACCTTGTGGACCTCAACGAGCGCCTTGGCGACCTCGAGGGCAATCGCAAGAATCTGCTGCATCGTGAGCTTCTTGGTGTGGTCCATCAAGTACGTCCGCAGGTCACAGCCGACGAAGTACTCGACGTACGCGATCGGGTTGGCGCCGAAGAGGTCGCAGGCACCGACGAGCTGCAGGAGACGACTGTCCTTGCCATTGGACCTACCAACCGACGCTGTCAATACCTCGTTCCCAGTTGAGATAGGAATCGTACGCTTGCATGATTGCGACCGACTTGCGGAAGCGCTGCAAGTCTTCGTGCTTGCGGAAAGCTTCCTTGAGCTGGATGCGAAGCACGTGCTTGCGATCGGCGAGGTACCCAGCGCGTAGTAGCGCAAAAGGAAAAGCACTCGGGTCGAGCTTGTCCTCGCCACCCAAATGCACGAAGTTGGCGTCGTCGTAAACCTTGACGCTCTTCAGGCGCTGCTCCAGCAGGTCGGCTTCGTGCTTGGCTTCGAGCTGCTCTTGCTTGCGACGAAGTTGGTCTTCCTTTTGCTGTTCGAGCTGGCAGCGGATCTCGTCTTCGCGTTTCGCCGCAGCAGCGGCCAGTGCCTTCTCGAACTTGATAGTAAAGGTGTTGGTGAGGTTGTCAATCTCGTTCTGGTGCTGGAGCGAGAGGCTCTTGGTCTCATTGAGGAGGGTGGCAATCGTTTGATCGAGCTCGCGGATCTTCTGCTGGTACGCTTGCTTCTCAGCACGAAGCATTTCGACCTCGCTGAGAGGGACCGGGTCTTCGACGTACTCGTTGCTAAGCGCGGCGCCCATGACGATGGAAAATGAAAAGGGCCAACGGCTTTGTTTGCTTCAAAGTAACCTCACCCGACCGTTGTTGATACATGTATTAGTATCATGTCAGGGCTCCTTGTATCACGTCGTGTAGGATCTGGTTTGAGTTGATCTTTCTTCTGGGTGGACATGCATTACGTCGTAATCCGACTTGTAGTACGCAGGACGTTTATCAACTTTATTGGTCTCGGTGTAAAACTCAACACTCAACAAAAACGATTCAAACATACCCTGTTGCTGCATCAGAACGCTGCCCACCGGCCACCGGCACCACTGTCAACAATCCTGTGCAAACCAGTGTGCACCGTGTTCAGCGATCACCACCGACAGCTGGCTTTGGTGCAAGCAAGGAGAGACGTCAGCTGGTGCAGGGACCAAGTAGTACATGCAATATACTCATGCACGAAACAAGAGAGCCACCCATGGTATCATTCTCCTGTGTAGACCAGTCGGACCGATGTGTTGACACGAATCTCTCACACTCAAATTATCAACTCGCACGAAGTGCAAAGAAACGATCCAATCACGTGGCTTGGATCCGGATAAGTATCAAGTGACCCAGAATGTTTGTCGCATCCCGGGGATAGGTTGTCTGGACAGCCACTCCTTTGCGTCAACCCCGACTGAATTCCTTCCGGACCTTCCTTGAGATCATTCCTCAAATTGCATTTCGATGGGCAACGCGACCAGCAACGAGTCGGGTGAGGGCACGCCGATACCGCACCAAATCCACGAGGTCATCGTCAAGCAGCTCAAGGCAAAGATCGCGGCGCTCGAGCGCGACCATGCAAAGCAGATCGAGAACATCCGGCGGTCCCACAGGGCCGAGATCGAACGCATCACGAGCGTCCACACGGCTGAGACCGAAGTCGCCGCCGCCACCGCGCTCGAAGAGACGCAGCGCCGGCAAAAACTCGAGGAGACAGTACGCGCGCACGAAACGGCGCTCCTCACACGGCGCCTCGAAGCCATCCACCTGGTCAGCGACGCAGGCTTCGAGGCGTTCCAGGGCAACCTCGGCTTCGACACCAAGGCGTTCCCCAACACATCGCTCCACGCCGGGCGGCTCGCCGACGGCATGCTCGTGCTCCGCGTCCAGCTCACCGACCGTGGCGCGGAAGCTCGCCGACAGCGTCGATCGCTTCCGGCAGTCGATCGCCATCATGCAAGCGTAGGTCTCGTCTCACGTTTCCTTACGGTACTCACGCTCTGCGATCGTATAGGCTCAATGGCGCAGACGACCACCTGCTGTGCCTCGTCGGCGGCTGCGACCTCAACACCGACAACCCGATTGCGTACATCGAGTACTTTCCCGGCACCGACCTCGAGTCCTACTTGCAGGAGCATCCCGCACTGTCCGAGCGCGAGAAACTGCAAATCGCCCGGCAGATTGCGACAGCGCTTGTCGCTGTGCACAAGAAGGCCATGCTGCATCGCGACCTCAACTGGTCCCGCGTCTTCATCGCCATCGACGGCCGCGTCAAGGTGTTCGTCGGCCTCAAAGCGCGCGAGCGACCCACGGGCAACGTGGCCAACGGCGTCTCGGCCGAGCGATGGGGCGCGCCAGAGACCCTCCACGCGACTGGCATGAGCTCGGACAAGATCGACATCTTCTCGCTCGGGCTGCTCCTGATAACGCTCGTGACCAAGGCGATCCCGTTCTCGCACATTAGAAAGAGCGGAACAGACGAGCCCATCGACGACGATACGCTGCAGCAGCGCCTCGCGACCGAAGCCGACGCGACGCCGATGCTCACGCAGCCGTTCGGCGACGCGTCGCCGGCCTATGCGGCGTTAGCCCACGCGTGTATTGCGTACGACCCGGCCCACCGTCCGACGGCGTCCGAGGTCGCGCGGCGTCTCCAAGAGCAGCTCGACGAGCTCGACGAGAAGGAAGCCAACGTGCCGAAACAAGCCACGACGGTCCGCCCCGTGGTCGGCATCGACGTGGTCGTCAAGCGGGCCACCGGGCTCGTGTCGTCGTCCAAGATGTACTGCACCGTCAGTATCGCCGACGGGATGTTCAAAGCGCTTGCGACGGATCGCGCCTCGTGCGCCAACGGCATCTACAGCTGGCAACAGACGCTGTCGTTCGCCAACGTCAAGCCGCTCGAAGGCACGCTCGATTTCACGCTCTGGTCGGTCGGCTACGTCGTCGACGCGAAGGAGTACGTGGCGTCCATCATGCTCGCAGACCTCCTGCACATTGACGGCCAAACGACGAGCCTCCACGCGCCGCGCACGACAAGCCTCGACCTGTTTTCAGGCGGCGAGCGCCAAGGGTCACTCGAGATCCAAGTCACGTTTACGAGCGAGCTCCGCAAGTACCTCGCGCTCTACGTGGACGAAAAGTCCAAGCTCATTAGCTACTACGCGACACGGCAGACCAACTACTGCGCCGACTATGCGCGGCGACGCGACCTCGCGGCCGTCGTGCTTGGCGTGCAATCTCCGTAACGAGTTGGTCTACTTCTTGAGCATCGACATGGTTGGTTTGTTGGTATCGGAGCACTGGTATCGGAGATCTCTTCTTCATGCGAAAAATTGTGAGGCATTCAGTGCCACGATGACAGGAGCTGGCGACTGCGAGGAGAAATGTTGCTGGGTTGCGACCGCGCGACAAGCCTTGAGAGCATCTCCGCACAGCCTTGGTGATACGGTAGCTTGTTGGCACGTGGCGCGAGCTCACTGAATGCTCGACGTGCAATCCCTGTGCAGTCTGTATAGTGCGTCGAAGAGATGCTGATGAGGCGTCTCATGGCTTGATCCTGGAGAACGGACTGGGGCTGACGCCACGTCATCGCAGACGACAGAAGTCAGCGCAGTGATATTCGAATCCTGGTTGGGTGCACAGTGTGCGCGATTGTGAGCTCCGCGCCATGGGCTCTCACGGGAACACAGCTCTTCTTGAACGAACCAAACAGCTCGATAAGCCTCCATCGTTCCGCAACGAGATTATACCTCACGCCGCTAGCGCCGCTCGGGGCTGAGCCTCCACTCTACTGGTACGTATCGATCTGATCGATGGCGCACGACGGCGCCAGACACAGCCGCGTCACTCGAGCCATGGGGCCCACCACTCGGCCCAACGTGTTCAGGACCAGATCCTAGTATTTTCAACGACAACGTGTACACAGGGAGGCGGTGGCGGGCAAAAGTGGCGTGAAATTAGCGTCGACGATGATAGTTTCGATTGCGACACGCCTCCTAAGTCACCCAAATCCTGCACTGTATCAACCGCAAGCAGCCAATTGCCGGCGATCGTGGCAAGCGTCTGGCCAGCGCAGTCGTCAATTCCAAATTTCCATGGGCAACATCTTCAGCTCTGCCCGAGTCGCCGAGCTCGAGAAGGAGGTCGCCGAGCTCAAGAAGCAGGTCGATACACTCAAGGACAAGCATGCCGTCGACCTGGATGCGCAACTCAAGAAGCACAAGGCCGAGCTCGAGCGCCTTGCACAGGCGCACGCCACCGAGATCGGTACCCTCAAGAGCGACAAGAACGCGGCCGACGAGCTCGCGACGGCAAATGCGCTCAAGGCCGATGAGCAGCGTGCACAGCTGGAGCAAAAGGTGCGCGAGCTCGAAGCGACGATTCTCGAGCGCCGCTTGAACGACGTGCGCCATGTCGACGACGGCAGCTTCGTGCGCATGAAGGGCAACCTCGGGTTCGACACGCAGGCCTTTCCGTTCACAACGCTCGTCGCGGGGCACCTCGCAGACGGTACACTCGTGCTTCGCGTGCAGCTGCGCGACGAGTACTTGCGCGTGCCCGCCGACATCCAGCGCTTCAAGCAGTCGATCGCGATCATGCAAACGTACGTCTCAATGGATGCATGACGGCGAGCGATGTACGATGCAACGTAGGCTCAATGGCGCAAGCGAGCATTTGCTGCGCCTCGTCGGTGGCTGCGACCTCGAGACCGACAACCCGATCGCGTTCCTAGAGTACTTTCCCGGCACGGACCTCCAGTCGTTCGTGCGGCAGAACGAAGAGCTCTCGTGGCACAAGAAGCTCGACATTGCGCACCAGATTGCGACCGCGCTCGTCGCCGTGCACAACAAGGCGATGCTGCACCGCGATCTCAACTGGTCGCGTGTCTTTATCGCATCCGATGGCCGCATCAAGGTCTTTGTCGGCCTCAACGCCCGCGACCGCCCGGCCGGGCACCCGGCCAACGGCGTCACGGACGACCG